GCCTCGCCGCCCTTCCTACCCTCTTCCGTGGGCCTCTCGCCTGCGCTTGGCTCCGGCAACTCCGTTCTGCTAATCCTCTGGCGGTTTTCTGGGTTATTTAGGCAGGTGTAGGTGGAATCTAAGTGATCAGCAGGACGCGCGGTGAGCCCAGCATCCTCCTAGGCTGCCATCTTCCCTCCAAGCCCAACAATATATTTTAAAAGATAACACATCATCAAGTGAGGTTTATCCTAAAGTGCAACTATGATTTAGCATTCAAAAATCACTTCAAGTAATTAACCATAGTAGCAAACAGAATGAGAAAACCACATGGTCATCTTAAATAGACACGGAAAAAACATTTGGCAAAATCCAGCATTTGTTCCTGATAAAGATTCTGAGCATACTAGGAACAGAAAATTCAACAGAAAACTTGTTCAACCTGATAAACAACACCTATGAAAAACCTACAACTAAATCATACTTAATGGTAAAGGACTAGATGCTTTCCCACCAAGATCAAACATGCAAAGTTGCCTGCTCTCCTTCTTTTCAACATTGTATTAGAGGTTTCAGTTAGTGCAGTAAGACAAAAATGAAATAAAAGACATCCAGATTAGAAAGTAAGAAGTAAAACTGTCTTTATTCACAGACCACACAATCATGTGTATAAAAAATGGAATAGAATTTACAAAGTAGCTTCTAGAACTAATAAGTGAGGCTAGAAAGCTTGCAGGTTTCAAGATCCATGTACAAGATCAATTGGATTTCTATACACTGACTACATTCAGAACTTTAAAAAATAATACTAACATTAACAAAAATATGACATTCTTAAGGGAATGTATGTGACAAAAGATACATAAACCCCTGCATACTAAAAACTGAAACTGCTAAGAAAAATTAAGACCTAAGTAAATGGAGAACTATAACATATTCATGGATGTGGAGACTCACAGTAGTTAAGATGTCAGTTCTCCCCAGGTTGACCCATAGATTCAGTGCAGTCCTGAGGCTCTTGGCTATCTTGGTCAGTTGAGCATCTGACTCTTGATTTCCACTCAGGTCATGATCCCAGGGATGTGGGATCAAGCCCTGTGTCGGGCTCCACACTGAGCATGGAACCTGCTTAAGATTCTCTCTTTCTCCTATTGCCCCTCTTCCCTGCTCATGTTCTCTCTCCCTAAAATAAAAATTAAAAATTAAAAAAAAGACTTATGAAACTATAGTAATCAAAGCATAATGGTATAGGTATAAGAGTAAATAAGTACCTCACTGGAACAGAAGGACCAGAAGTAAATCCTATATGGATGGCTGATTTTTAACAAAATCGAAAAGACAAATCTGTGAAAAAAGTATAGACTTTTCAATAAATAGTATTGGAATAATTGGACATCCCTATGCCAACAAATGAACCTTAAGTCATACTTCATATCATATGTAAAAACCCAAAAGTAATCACAGACCTAAATATAAACCCTAGAACTAGAACTTCTAGAAGGAAACAGAAGAGAATCTTGCAGTCTTGAATTAAGCAAATCACTTTTGGACATAAGACAAAAGTTTGAATGAAAAACTTGGTAAATTAGACTTTATCAAGATGAAAAACTTCCATTTTTCTAGAGACACTTAAGAGAATGAAGAGAGAAACTGCAGACTAGAAGAAGGTACTTGCAAAGTGTATATCTGATCATGAACTTGTATCCAGAGTCCATAAAGAACTCTCAAAATTCAGTAATAAAAAAAATAAGAGCCTAATAAACAAATGGACAAAATATTTGAACAGACACGTCACCAAAGAATGGCCAAAATTAAAGACTGACCTTAAGAAGATTGATGAGAATATGGATTAACTGGAACTCTCATATACTCCTGGTTTCAATATAAAATGGTACAGCTGCTTTGGGAAACAGTTTGGCAGTTGCCTAAAAGTTTACATTTATTAGCACCATACAATTCAGCCATTACACTCCTAGGTACCTGGAAGGAAAAAGTCATACTAGTACTTTTATATGAACCTTAAGAGCAACTTTATTTATAATAGCCGAATGCTTTAAACAACCCAACCATCCAAATGTCTATCAACAGATGGTGTGTAAACAAATTCTTGTATATCTGTACAATGGAAATAATAAAAATGAACTATTGATATACACATTAACAAGGAATCTCAAATTAATTATTGTGAATGAAAGAGACCAGACAAAAAAAGAATATATTGTGAAAGTCAGTTTATGTAAAAGTCTGGAAAATTTAAATCTGTAGTAATAGAAGGTAGAGCAGTATTTGTGTGTAGGAGGGACTTTGGAGTGATGGATATATTCCTTATCTTGATTGTGGTGGTGGTGGTGTTGTAAAATATTTCTGATTTTTACTAGAAAATGAATTCAAAATCTTAAAATACAGTAAAAAGAAACTGATTAGTAAAAAGAAACTCTTCTAGATTTTTTCCCCCACCTCTGAAGAAGACATTTAGTTTTTCTTACTCAGTGAGAATTTAAATAGAAAATGTAGGCATTAAGTTTGCAGCTTTGCTAATGCATACTTTTTTTTTTTTTTTAAACTTCAGGGTCTTGCCTATTTGCATACTAAAGGCAAAATGCATAGAGATATCAAAGTAAGTTCATTTAATATACTTAAATAGATAATTTTTGAAGGAATTTTGTGATACTAATTTAATAGTATTTGTATTTTTGTTTTAGGGTGCAAATATTTTATTGACAGATCATGGTGATGTAAAATTAGGTATGTTGTTTCAAGTCTCTCACATTTTTCCTAAAAATTTTAATAAAATTTTAAATGAGAATTAACATTATACAAGTTTAATATTCATATCAAGAACCACAATAATGTTCAAGTTTTGATCCAGTAATTTTACTCCTGAGACTCTGTTTAAAGGAACTTAATCCTAAAGATAAAAAAAAATCTATATTCATAGGAGTATTGATTATACACTGTTTATATAGAAAGAAGTACAAACATAGGACTAGCAATAGAGAAACTGTTAAAACTGTAATAAATCCACTTATGGAACATTATTCAGTCATCAGAATTAACAGTTAAGGAGAATAAGAGTAGAATCCCTGAGGTGTTACTTAAATGACAAAAATGAACTATACGTATAATCAGTTTTTTATAACCATGTGAAATAACAATAAAAAAGTATTTATAGAGAAAAAGCCTTTTTTAATGGCACCAAAATACTACCCTAGTTGTGTTAGAATAAAAGGCATCCATATGGGTGGTTTATTTTTTTTTTTTTTTTACCTTTTTTTCCCTTAATTAAACTTCAGTATGCTTGTAGTAAATTTTTTTATTAAACTATGTTCTTTATAAAGTATGTTTTATTCTAATAAAGTGCCAAAAAAATGATTTTCCTTTAATGAGCATGTTATAAACCAAGCAAGAAGAGATTTCGGGATTCAATTTATATATATTTCCCTGGCATTACTATCTGAATTATTAATAATGTCGTGCCTGAGGGTGAAATTTAGAAATGTTGGTGACTTTATTGAAAGAACTAAAATTTTTGTCCAACTTTTTTCCCTACTAGCTGACTTTGGTGTGGCTGCAAAAATAACAGCTACCATTGCAAAGAGAAAATCTTTCATTGGCACCCCTTACTGGTAAGATACTATGATTGAATTTTGTGCATTTTCATTTCTTCACAGTTAGTGATCTGCATTGATACTTAGTAAGACAAGTGATAATACAAGTCTGGAGATTTGCATGCTCCTTGATACTATCATACTTCTGATTGGGAACTTTGATACTCATTTTTATTCACCTTTCCCTGAGTTAAAGTGCTAATAATAATTCCTACTGTCTCTGGGATTTTGTATTAAGAAGACTCATAGGTATGAGATTTTTCAAAAGAAAGACTTTTATTATGATCTCTTATCATTTTGTTACCCTTTCAGTATTGATTCTGTTTTAATATAGGATTTCAATTTCTGGTTGTTTAAAATTCATGCATCCTACCATTAGTCTTTATCAGCTACCTTCCTTTTAACGCATCTTACCCAGTACTGACAAAACGATCTTTCTAAAATGCTGCTTTCATCAATGAAGACAGATAATTGAAATATAATAAAAAACCTAGTAATAAACCTTAATATATAAAATAATTTAGTGAAATTATAAAAGATAACATTTAAAGTTTGTAAAAAAGCTTGGATTTTTTTAAATAGACAGTGTTTGAATAATATATTATTTGGAAAGAAATTTAAAGTCACTCCGTACCTCATATCTAATGCCAAATAAATTGTATATGGAAATAGTTCAATATAAAAGTGAAACCAAAAGAACTATCAGTAACTATCAGCTTTAAGAGTTAAGTAAGCCTTTCTTGGCACAAAAGCATAAAACATTAAAGGGTAAAAGTGATAGATTTAACTACATGAAAATTTAAAATGTCTGCGTATCTACCAGCTTGAACAAAAGTGAAAGGCAAGTAACAAGTCAGGAAATATCCTCTAAAATATGTATGACAGACTAGGTTTTAATGTCTTTAATGTATAAGTTCTTTTTTTTTTTTTTTTAATTTTTTTTTTCAATGTTTATTTATTTTTGGGACAGAGAGAGACAGAGCATGAACGGGGGAGGGGCAGAGAGAGAGGGAGACACAGAATCGGAAACAGGCTCCAGGCTCTGAGCCATCAGCCCAGAGCCTGACGCGGGGCTCGAACTCACGGACCGCGAGATCGCGACCTGGCTGAAGTCAGATGCCTAACCGACTGCGCCACCCAGGCGCCCCAATGTATAAGTTCTTAATAAAGTACTTCATTAGAAGCAGAGTTATTAAAATAATACATAGAAGTTGTCATAAAATATGAAAATTGTTTCCCCTAACAATGACCAAAAATGTAAATTAAATAAGTAACACCATTATTTTCTTTCAAGTTGGAAAATATTTGGAATCATGGGTAAACCTATTACTATCACTAAATATTTGACAGTGAAATTAGAAATTGATAGCATAATTTTGAAGGATAATTTGGCAATAATGTTTTCCCAGAAACCTTTAACTGTGCTTGTATTCTTTAGTCTTAATTCTGCTTGTAGTAATTTATCAGAGAGGCATAGAAATTATATGAAGAGCTTTATTACAATACTTTAAAGATTGAGGGGAAAGTATGCACGCACATGCAAAAGGAATTAGTTAAGGAAATTGTGTATGTTTATGCAAATCAGTGGAGTAAATTGCTGATATTAAAAATCCTGTTGTAGGGGCACCTGGGTGGCTGAGTCAGTTAAGCATCTGACTCTTGATCTCAGCTCAGGTCATGATCTCATGGTTCCTGAGTTTGAGCCCTGCATCAGGCTCAGCACTGACAGTGCAGAGCCTGCTTGGGATTCTCTCTCCCCTCTCTTTCTGCCCTTACCCACTCACACACACTTTCTCTCTCAAAATAAATAAATAAACCAAAAAAAAATTTTTTTTAATCCTATTGTAAAAGATGAATAGGCAATGGATAGGCTCATGATATACTATTATTCAAAAAAGCAAGATTAGGGCACCTGGGGCATCAAGGGACTCTTGATTTTAGCTCAGGTCATGATCTCGCAGTTTGTGAGATCTAGCCCCATGTCACAGGGCCTGCTTGGGATTCTCTCTCCCCCTCTCTCTGCCTCTTTCTTGCTTGTATGTGTGTGTTTCTCTCTCTCTCTCTCTCTCTCTCTCTCTCTCACACACACACACACACACACACACACACAAATAAACTTTCAAAAAAGAAACAAGTAAGATTAAAAGTAGCATAATGTAATACCATGTTATAGAAGATATGTGTGTGAATAAAATTTATGGATGTAAATATGTGAAACAATGGCTCTCTTTGGGTGGGATAATGTTTGACATGTTTTCTTCCATGTAGGCCAAATTCTCTTTGTCAACACGTATCAATTTTAACAACAGGAAAAAAAAACAAAATAAATATCAGTTAAATAAAAGTTAAAAGAAAACATGACTAAGTTAGATTACTTATAGAATTTCCTTTATCACATGCCTGTTTCCTTCCTTGGTCTCTTTCTGTGACTTTCCTCCCCTGTGAACAGTCTTCTCTAGTCAAAATTTATGTTTTTTGTACCCTGACTATATCAGTTACTCTTTATTAGGTCCCTAGTATATTCATCTTCTCTGTTTATCTTGAGTCCTGCCCTGTCTTGGGAAAGCCTTTATCTCCCCTTCTATTCTGAATGACAGCCTTGCTGGATAAAGGATCCTTGGCTGCATATTTTTCCTATTCAGCACGTTGAATATTTCCTGCCACTCCCTTCTGGCCTGCCAAGTTTCAGTGGACAGGTCTGCTACTACCCTCATGTGTCTACCCTTGTAGGTGAAGGCCTGTTTGTCGCTAGCTGCTTTCAGAATTCTCTCCTTATCTTTGTATTTTGCCAGTTTCACTATGATAGGCCATGGTGTTGACCTGTTTTTAGTGACTCTGAAGGGAATTCTATGTGCCTCTTGGACTTGGATACCTGTTTCCTTCCCCAGATTAGGGAAGTTCTCAGCTATAATTTGTTCAAAAAAAACCTTCTGCCCCTTTCTCTCTCTTCTTCTGGAACTCCTTTGTTACAGATATTATTTTGTTTCATTGAATCACTTAGCTCTCTAATTCTCCCCTCATGGTCTAGTAATTTCCTTTCCTTCTTTTTTTCAGCTTCATCATTTCCCATAATTTTATCTTCTGTTTCACTTATTCTCTCTTCTGCTTCTTCCATTCTCACTGTCACTGCATCTAGTTTATTTTGCATCTCATTGACAACATTTCTTAATTCATCATGACTATTTCTTAGGTCTTTGATCTCTATAGCAATAGAGTCTCTCCTGTCTTCTATGCGTTTTTCAAGCCCAGCTATTAGTCTTATGACTGTTATTCTAAATTCTTGTTCAGATATATTGTTTATATCTGTTTTGAGCAATTCTCTGGCTGTCATTTCTTCCTGGATTTTCTTTTGAGGAGAATTCTTCCATTTTGTCATTTTGGCTCGTTTTCTGTCTTTTAGGTATTTTAATAGCTTGTTATGTGTCCTACACCTGCGAGTACTACTATATTAAAAAGGAGCATATACTGTGCAGGGCCTTTCACTTTAGAAAGTGTTTTTGTAGTATGTTGTATGCACTCTGTTGCTGCATATTTGGCTGCTCTGTCCCACTGGACAGTCCTCTGCAAAGCTCCTCCTTGCTCATAAGGGTGGATTGTTTGAAACTTCCACCAAGTGTTCTTTGATTTGTTTGTTGAAGTAACCCTGTAAAAAGGGAAGGGCGGGGAACCTCATCCCATACAAAGAGAAAAATGAAAGGAGCAAAAAAAAAAGACCAAGTATAGAATCAAAGAAGCTATAAGGCTTAATCCAGAGAGAGAGAAAGAAAAATAAAGAAGGAGATATAGAAAAGGTATTAAAAAAAATTGAGTAAAAAATAAAAAAGCCTGATTAAACAAACAAAACAGAGAAATATATATATGTATAAAGAATTGACCAAAAATCAAATCAGAAACTATGAGCCTGATTCCAAAGGAAAAAGAGTAAAAAGAAGAGAAAAGAGAAGAAAAAAAAAGAGAGAGAGAGAGAAACAGACTAACATACAAAACTGTAGGTCTGTTGGTGCCTGGGACTGGTGGCAGTGCTGGTCAGGAGGTCTGGTTCCCTCAGTGTCAGTCCCCTTCCAGTACAAAAGCATTTGCCAGGCACGGAGCGGCAGGGTTTGTTGTAATTGGTCCCACCTCCAGTGGAGACTGCCGTGCTGTTTCCTGAAGCCCCACCATGTTGGTGGTGGAGAAAAAAGTGGTGACACCCCAATCTTTCCTCCTCTGTCTGAGTGTCTCAAACTACTCTGTTCAGGCAGCCCTCACAGAATAGTGTGGGAATAGACTTGTCCTGCTCCACAGTCTCCCGGCCTCTTAGGCACTCAGCTGGGATTCAAAACCAATGTCTTAAAGGAGCCTGCACCCCACCTCCCCGGGACCCCATTCTGGTGTACCGTGGTTCCACAGCCTTTCTCTCCCTTTTGTCTCTCCACAGAAGTGGTTCTCTTCCCTCCATGCCTACGCTCTTATCTCCCCCAATTTGCACACTTGCACCTCTGTCCTGCCAAGCTGTCTCCCTCCACCTGTGGAGATCTTCCTGTCACTCCTGCTGTTGATTTCCTGGGTGTTCCAAGTGTTCTGACCTTAATACAGCTGTGTTTGAGGGATGAGAGAAATCCCTGTTCTCTACTTCTCCGCCATCTTAACTCTCCCTCAAGTCCTGCCCTGTCTTAAAAGTGTCACACGCTCTGCCTTTCTTCAGCTGTGGCAGACTGATTGATCACTCTCTGCCTTCCACTGAGCCAGGAAGTGTAACACTCTTGGTCAACTTGGTGCTCCACTTGTCCACCCCTAACTGATTCTAGTGGGCAGAAGAGATAAAACGCATATGCTCTCTGGGTTCCAGCTCAACTTTCCTCTCTGAGACTTGCCTTTAGTCGTTTTGTTCCATAGTAATGATCATTTTCTTCTCTTTACTCCTATATCCATTTTTATGTATTTAGTACTTGCTTATAGCAGACATTTTTAGTATACATACTTTATGTTCTTCACCACCTTTAGGTTGAGTGATATTGTGTTATATAACTTTGTGTAATCCAAATACTTATAAAAACAGCTTCTGTGTGGATATTTAATATCTATATAAATTAATTTTAAAATAGTAAACATTAAAAAAAGAATATTTCCCCTTAGTAATATCTACACTTTATAACATCAATTGCCATTATTATAAACCCCTGAATCCCAAACAGGTAACTCCAACTAAGCCACTAAGTTGACCTTTAATCTTAGATATATTCACAGTTGTTTGATAATAGCTCTACTTCAATATCCACAAGCATTTTATACTTATATCAGTCTCTTCAGTCAACCCCTTTCATTCAGTCCCCTCTGCCACTGCCTTTGAAAAGTCATTTATCATTTTTCCCTTCTATTTTTGAAATTGTCTTCCAACTCATTCACCTGACTTTGGTTTTAGCTCCTCTCATACTGTCCTTCCTATTGCCATGAGTTTCAGAACAAGTTTATATCCAAAATTAAATCTTGTATTTTCACAATAAAATTTAACTTCATTGTATAATCAGTAGGGCATTTGTTACCTAGCTCCTATGTCTGAGGTTCATTTTGCAAATACTTTTTAAATCCTCTCAAACTTTTATAAAATAAATTCATCCCAGACTGAATTACTAAAAAGTGATCATGTATTTGGACAAGAGTTAATACTCTCCGTTTCTGTACTTATCATAGACTCCTAACAAGCAGCTTATGGCTCCATACCTGTCTGTAGGTCATACATTGAGTAGCATTGTCCTGTCACCTTTCCAGATGTTCCGTGCTCTTTTCCTGTCTCCCTGTATTTGCACTTGTTTCCTCTAACTAAAATGTTGAGGCTCCTCACTCACCTTACCTCCCTGCTGATTCATTCTCAAGTCTCACCTCCTTTGGGAGCATTTCTGACCTTCATGGGGATTTAGGTATTCTTTCTTTTCCCATATTATATGACAAGATTCACAAAACAGAAACTAAAGTAAGACAACCAAATTTTTCCTCAGAGCACTAGTCTTCAGAGAAGATGGAAGATTTTTAAGTGATGAGTTTGAAAAGAGTATATCTTTATACATGTGGTCTTTATTAAGTCTTTCCTAGTAAATGTCTCTCAGCCTCTTTCCCTCTAGAAGTTGAGTGAATATAACAAAAAAGAGCAGATTTCATATCATTTTTAAAAAATAAAAATGTTATATTCACTGATTCCTTCTAGGATGGCCCCAGAAGTTGCAGCAGTAGAAAAGAATGGCGGCTACAACCAACTCTGTGATATCTGGGCAGTAGGAATAACAGCAATTGAACTTGGAGAGCTTCAACCACCTATGTTTGATCTCCATCCAATGAGGTGTTCTCACTATTTACAATTATGCAGTTATTAATGAAGTCTTTGGGGAGAATTAAATATTGATAACTTGAGTATTTCCAGCTCATTTTCAAGTATGTTGAAATAGTAAAGGTGTTGTATAGGACTTAGGGGTAATCAGTTGCACCCAATACCTGCTCTCTTGTGTTGTTTCCTAAGACAACGTGGAGTGAATCATCTGTACTATTTAAAGCTGTTTCATTAAGCAAATCTCCCTTAATCATACTAGATATAGCAGTTATCATTTGTAAAGTTTTTTTAAGTCTTTACATTCTTCCATCAATTGTTTCTTTTTCTGTTCTAAGTGGAATTATGAGCAAATGATAGGATGTAGGTGACATTTTTTTTCTATTCTTTTTTTGATTTTTATTTTGTCTAGGGATAATTAAGAGGTAGTTACACTTAGTATAATTATTATTTACATTTTAGGGTATATTGTCTCTCAAAAAAATATTTGATGGCCTTTGAAAGTGCTTTTATATTTTGAAGTAAAAGATGAATTGAGCTAAAATTTAAGCTTTTAAAGTATAAAGTTGAAAACAGTATAAAGTTGAAAAGAAAATCAACAGAGTGCAGAAAGTATTCTTCTAGCAAGATAGACAATGGATTAGTATACATGTATATATACATAAGGAATTTATTTAGAGACCCTGAAGGCAAAAGATAGACTGTTAATGAGCAAGTACCAAATACAAAGAAACTTGGAAAACTATTGGACTTCTCAAGTAACTGAAGATACAAAAGTTAAAAGATACCTACTTTTTGTTGGAATGCCATTATGTACAGACCTTTAGGATGTTACTTGTTAGGAGCAGTACAAATGTTTCTGTGATTCTACTACTTAGAAAATTATACTTAGGAAATAACCCAAGGGAAAAAAAAGCTAAGAATTATTCATTCCAGGTTAACAGTGGAAAAAAAGCTGAGTGTCCAATAGTTGGTGAATTAATCTTTTTTCTTAATTTTTTAATGAATTGTTAAGCAAAAATTTTCAGCAGTTAAAGGCAGCTGTTACATATGCATAAACCAAAGCAACATGGAAAATTGATTATTAGTGAAAAAACAATCTATTATTACCTAATTATTGGTTAGCATTTAGATAAAGACTAAAGAAGAGCAGATTTAAAAGAATGCCTCACAGTTGTAAGAATATAAACTTTATATATGAATCATTTCATCTTTAAAAAGATAAACATCTTTGGTATTTAAAACTGAGTTTGGGGGCGCCTGGGTGGCTCAGTTGATTAAGCGTCCAATTTGGTCTCAGGTCATAATCTCATAGTTTGTGAGTTCGAGCCCCACATCGGGCTCTGTGCTGACAGCTCGGAGTCTGGAGCCTGCTTCAGATTCTGTGTCTCCCTCTCTCTCTGCCCCTCCCCTGGTCGTGCTCTGTCTCTCTCTCCCTCAAAAATAAATAAAACATAAAAAAATAAAAATTTATTTAAAAAAGACGGGTTTGCTTGGAAACCTATAAAGGGTTTTGTTGGAAAAACTGAAATAGAGCATTTTAGAACTTTTCTTAAATCTTCCATCCTTCTACCCCCAGAGTCCCTAGAAAATGAGTCAAAGGTGAATTCATACTGAAAGAAAGTCCTCTTGCAGGTTGATTTCTGTATTATTCATAATGAGAGAATCTGGAAAGTTATTGTCCAAAAGAGGGGAACAGACTAGGAAGTAGATATAATTTGCTTGTATACCCAAGACAATTATAGAGGCAAATCTTCCACTAAGCATACAACCTAATGTTAGAGTAACACATCATCTCTATGTTATAGAATGGTATTTAATTACTATACATGCTTATATCTAAGATATAATATTAGTTATATATGTTAAAAGTATAGTGATAAAATTCTTCTCTAATATTTGGTAGCTTTGCCTTATGAATAAGAGCTTGTTTGAAAATGAAATATCTAGGTGATGGGCATTGAAGAGGGCATCTTTTGGGATGAGCACTGGGTGTTGTATGGAAACCAATTTGACAATAAATTTCATATATTAAAAAAATTAAAAATAAAAAATAAAAAAAAGAAAGAAAATGAAATATCTATTGGCTATCTAAAATATAAAAATTTAGTGTCCAGGGGCTCCTGTCTGGCTCAGTTTGTAGAGCATGAGACTCTTAATCTCGGGGCTGTGAATTTGAGCTTCATGTTGGGCATAGAGATAACATACATACATATGTACATACATAAAACTACATTATCAATAAACTTAATAAATAAGTAAAATCTTAAATTAATTTTCATATTCCATACCAGTGTTCATCAGTGTCTACGTATGTAGTAATTTGTAAATGGATTACAGAATATTCATTCTGATTATTAGATGAGGTAATCAAAGTATTTCAATATTGCCCTTTAACTGAAATTTTTATTCCAGGGCCCTCTTCTTAATGTCAAAAAGTAATTTTCAGCCTCCAAAACTAAAGGACAAAACAAAATGGTAAGTTAATGAATATATAGATTTATAGAATTTTGCCGTTGGAAAGGAGATAGGTTCAGTTCTCTTATAAGTGATGAAACTGAATTGCAGCAATGTGGATGGAACTGGAAGGTATTATGCTAAGTGAAATAAGTCATTCAGAGAAAGATACCATACATTTTCACTCATATGTGGAACTTGAGAAACTTAACAGAAGACCATGGGGGAAGGGAAGGGGAAAAAAAATAGTTACAGAGAGGGAGGGAGGCAAACCATAAGAGACTTTTTAAGTACAGAGAACAAACTGAGGGTTGATGGGGGAGGGTGGGGTGGAGAAGAGGGGAAAATGGGTGATGGGCATTGAGGAGGGCACTTGTTGGGATGAGCACTGGGTGTTGTGTGTAAGCGATGAACCTCAGGAATCTACCCCTAAAACCAAGAGCACACTGTACACACTCTATGTTAGCCAATTTGACAATAAATTATATTTTGGAAAAATGATGAAACTGAAGTCCAGAGCCTTTAAATAGTTTACTTGCAGTTACATATCTAATTTACTCACAGAGCTGTGGCCAGGATCTGGGTTATATTCTTGACAGTTCCAGTTGCTTAGGAACTTAGAGTAACAAGGAATAAGAACAAGCCCATGTCCAAAAGATTTTTATAATCTTCTGCTCTGGTAAAACTCTGATCATTTTCTTAGTGTTTTGGAGGCTTGGGTAAGAGGTGTGGTGAGGAAAGGATTGGAAATGGGTATATTAAAAATTTGGAGATTTATATCTTTGCCTTGCATTCTGTTACTTGTTAATTATATGTTAACTTTTATGGAAGGTGATATGAAAAGGTTTCCCAGATACCATGACACTTAATCACTGTTGATTTTTCTCTACCTTCCTTACCTAATATTCAAAATTTTACTATTTATTTTCATCCTAATCTCTTCTTTCTCTAAGTAAAGCAGTTTGCCTTTTCTTAAAGTCCATTAGGATATCTTTAATTGGATGATAAAAATTGAAAATTATTTTTCTGGTAATGTATTCCCATGCATTTAATAAAAGAAGCCATGCAAATAAAAGTTTCCAATCTTCATCTAGATTTCATGGATCTTTTGATGTGGGAGGTACATGGGTTCCCCAAATTCTGTATGTATATTCTTCTAGGGAGACAGTCCATATCTTGTTTCATATTTTAAGAGACCTGTCCCCCAAACAGGTTCTGAACTACTGTTTTATGTTTTATTGACCTGTCTGTGCAAAGTATTACTTAGGAGCCAGGACATTCTGGAGATGATGCCAGGAGTGAAAGGAAAATCACACTGGAAATAAAGGAGTTTATATCCTACTGTGGCTGTATTCTTTTGTGTTGATAAGAGTTTCTTCCTGATTCTTGTTACCCTAAGTTCCTAAGCAATTGGAACTGGAGGGCTTTATGGCAGGAATGACTCAATATTCATTCAGGAATGAATGACCACAGGCTGTTACCATTGGAGTACTTTTGCCAATCTCAGGTACTCTGGTTCCACGTTATCTCCGCCACAAGCCACCAAATGTAATGCAGTGATTTGATTTCTCTGCAAGAGAGCTGCTGTGTGGATGCCCTTGTTCCTAAGAAATTCAGTGACCTTATAATGATTTAAATAATCTTTTACATTACCAATCCTACCTCCATGCCATTCTTCTGGTATAGGAAAACATTTATATATTTTATAAATTAAGCAGTGGGGAAAAAGCCATTTTGATTCCTAAGTGGCACCTAGAATAAATACTAGATTTTAAATCCTATAATACCCATTTCTAGTTTTTTGTGTATTTTTTAGAGATGGTATGTTACTATTTCTTGTAACTAATTTCATTTTACTTAATAGATGAAACTGACACCTGTTTTCAAGGGGTATACTGTTCTTTGGGTCTTGTTTTTTGGCTTATATAGAGCTAAGAGGCCTAAGAAAAATCATGTGTTTCAGACTTTCTAACTGCTTATAAGTTAGTTTTATTTAGTAACATTAAAAAACTAATATTAGTGAAATATTTTTGTACATGTCTCTTTTTATTTGAAGGTCATCAACATTCCATAATTTTGTCAAAATAGCACTAACCAAAAACCCCAAAAAAAGACCAACTGCTGAAAGACTTCTGACTGTAAGTCATTGAAATTATAGGGGAATTTTCTGTAGTCAATGCAGTAAGTAGGCATATCACTCGAACAAAGTATTTAAGATTTTTAATATAAAAATTTAGTGATCTCTTACTGCAGGGGTCTGCAGACTTTTTGGGAAGAGCCAGGTAGTAAATGTCTTGGGCTTTGGGGCCATACAGTCTCTGTAGCAACTACTCAGTTTTGCCATTGAAGCACAAAAGCTACCAAAGACAGTACAATTGAATGGGCATGGCTTTTATACTCAAAACTTCATTCACAAAAAGAGGCAGTGCCCCAGGTTTTGCCCATGGGCTTTAGTTTGCCAACCCCTGCCTTAGAGAAAACTCTTAAAAATGTTGCTGTCACCTAAAATTAATTGCCTTTTTTCGGTTTCTTATGTAAATATAGAATGTTCTGTGTATATATGTATTTGTAAAATATTTTTAGAAAAAGTTCATGATTACAACAATTTAAGGAAACTTTATTTAAATATCAAAATTTAACTGTTTGTCTTTTTACATTTACATAATGTTACTAAATTAAATGTATGCATATATGGAATACACATGCTTTTTTCTTATTATGATGTGATATTCACTTGCATATATATCACGATAGTGACATGAGTAATGAATGTCAGCTGTTATAGCCAAGGTTGCAATTTTGCAACCTAATATAGATAACTTAGAAAAATTATTCATGTTGGGGTGCCTGGCTGGCTCAGTGAGTAGAGGATGTGATTCTTAATCTCAGGGTCATGAGTTCAAGCCCTATGTTGGGCATGGAACCTACTTGAAATTAAAAAAAAAAAATGATTCATGTCATAAACTTACTCCACAAGGGTGCTGCAGTTTTATAATATACAATTATGGTTTCTCTGATACTTTTACTAGTACGTTCTCTAATTTATTTGTATTAGTAGGCTTCCATATGCTTGTTTTTGATAGTTACTGAATGAAAAAGTACAAATAACATTTTCTACGAACCATTGATGTAAAAGCATATTCATGAAGTTTTGTTTTGTTTTGTTTTGTTTTGTTTTGTTTTGACTTAGCATACATTTGTAGGGCAGCCAGGTCTCTCTAGGGCCCTCGCAGTTGAACTGCTGGACAAAGTGAATAATCCAGACAACCATGCACACTACACTGAAGGAGATGATGATGACTTTGAGGTAAAGAGGTTTTCAGTGTAATATTTGAAAATAAATATTTAATATGGCCTTAATGTTTATTTTCTAATTTACTCTTTTTTAAGTTAGCTACAACAGATTTAGCTACAAAGATTAATTAGCAATGTAAACTAAACTTACCCTGCATATAATTACCAGGTAATACTTTAAAAAAAATTGTGGTATTACATAAATAACTGGTTGACACTTTTTCTGGAAAGAACTAGGATTACTAATCTAATTAAAACCATTTATATCATTTTCTTTTCATAGTTGGTTTGCCAAAAGTTGAGAGGTAGCTAAGATTAGAATCAGATCATTTTCCCCTCCCAGAAATCGGGAGGTGCTTTCCCTTCTCCCCAAACCTCAGATTCTGTAGTGAGAGCTTGATCTTTCTCTAAAGAGAAAGTACATCTATTTCTAAGGAAATAAAAGAGGTTAGGAACATTGCTTTGGACCAAGAGAACAAAAGTTTAGCCAAAGCACATGCACATATTATTTTTCACTGAAGAGACTCTCTAGAAATCTAATTGGCCATTTTTTATTGCTCTATTATACAGATTATTAACAATATAAATATATTTTTTAAAAGTTGAGGTTCCCATAGAAATTTTATCCTTTCCAATACTTGTTCAGGACAATTATATATTATTACATGTAGAGCTATTCCTACATTTTCCTTCTCTGAAAATATTCTGAAGTCTTTTTGAATATATTATATATATTATATTTAACATCAAAACTTGTAAATCATGAATGAGGGACTTCCTGCCCATTAGCAGGTACCTACTATGCTTGCATAAAGCACAGCTGAACTTTTCCACCAGTGTCTCTTCCTCTCCTTTTAGGATTTCTTTTTATTTCTATGATTGTGTCCTCATTTCCCTTTATGCCTTTATTTCCTTTTATATCTCTACCTTCACTTCTGGCAAGACAATAGGACCATACTTTTTGTGTTATTTATTTGTTGAAGGAAATGTTTTACTTTATGTTCTTAAGTTTTGAATTATACTGTATAAGTATCGTCATAAGTACTAATAACGCATTGGGGAGTCATTGTGTACCAAGTATTAGGCTAGATAATTTTTATGTTAACTCATTAAATACTCAAAACAGTTTACAACAGATTCTGTTACTATCCACATTTTATAAATGAGGATATAGCAGAGAAAGAATAGAAGTAATTTTCCCAAGATCATATGGCTAGTAAGTAGTGGAACCAGCATTTGGATCCAAGGCCCTAACTCCAAAGCCTATTGTTTTAGTTAATATGCTACCATTTCTATGTATGTGTTTAATAGAAATAGTCACTAAATAATCTTTGAAAACTAATCTTTAAAAACTAATCCTTGCCTTCTGTATAGCATAGTCTTGTCCTGTAGTAGGTATCTAATGAATATTTTGTTGAGTGTTAAATGAACTTTAACTGAAAATATTGAATAAACTCACTATTCATAGATTTTTTAATTTAAATTATCATTTGCAGACTTGTAATAATAAGATTTTAATAAAATTATTAAAATTATTGTAACTTCAATATGAAATTGATATTATTTGATTCCCCAGTTTGTCTTTCACTGGTTATATAACTAACCAGATTCTTTTTTTTATTCCCCACATTATTTTGCTGGGCTTCCCAGATCCACTTTACCTTCTGAGTTCTCTATTTCTATTTAATGTGGTATCACTGTACTTCTCAGTTCTTGAAATCCTTGTGCCAGGTAGTTGGGGACACGATGGTGTATGAGATTGACCCAGTCCCTGCCTTGAAAGAACTTATAGTATAGTCTCATAGGAACCTCAGAAATACCACAAGTGTGATGACTGTTATGGAACAGGATATAGAGTATGCTATGGAGGCATATTTTAGGGACAGAGAAGGACTTGCTACAGAAGTGGTCTGTAAGTTGAAAATCTGCAGGATAAATTGGAATTAGAGGAAGAGGGCAGGCAGAATTGTTTTGAGCAGAGAGCATAATTGCATGTTAGAAAGCCTGGTGATAAGAGAGAAGACTGTATACTTGAGGAACTAAAGATAGTCTGGTTCGAACAGAAAACAAGGAGGGGGATAGTGGAAGATAAAGTCACAGAGCTAGACACTAGCCATTTCAAAACATGTTAAAATTTTTGGGCTTTATCAAAGGGCAGTAGAAGCCATTAAAGGGTAAAGGAGTGACATGTAATTATATGTGCATTTTTAAAAGATCTCTATGACCTCAGAATGGTGGTTCTATTTCTGAAAATCTGCTAAGAGGCTTTTAAAGTCATCTGGGATAGAGATGGTGGTGTTTTAGACTAGGAGTATAACAAGGACGGAGAAAAATGGACCAGTAAAAGAATTCTCTGAGAGAGTTGGAGATTGGATGAAGACATGAGTGTGGGGGGTGAAAAGAGATTACTCCTAGATTTTTATTTGAACAGCTGGGTGATCCTAAAAGTGCCGCCCCATTTATTGAGGTAGGAACACTAGAGTAAAATCATACTTGGGAATAAAGATGAATTCAAGTTTTATGTATAGTAATTTTGATGTTGAATAGACTTCCAAATGGAGACGTCTCACTAGAAATTAGATACGTGGTGTTAGCTTGGGGAGAAAAGTTTGGACTATAGATAGAAATTTGGGAGTCATTAAGTACAGAAGTAGTTGATACCTTAAGGAGTAAATCACTCAAGGGAAGCATGTAGAATGAGAAAACAGGAGAGGGCCTCAGACAGCATCCTAGATTTCTCCCAAAATTTAAGAATCAAGTAGGCTAAGAAGAATGGCAAAGGATTGATAAAAACCATTAAAAGAGGGAGGGAAGTTTTCAACAAGAATATTGCCTAGAAGATAAGTTAAAGAAGTCTTTGGATTTAGGTGGTGGTGCTTGAATACTTTCTTAAAAGGATAATATTCAAATTATAGAGGTGAAGCTAGATTAGAGTGGTTTGGAAAATAAGTACAGCAATACATTTATGAAATTTAGTTGTGAAAGGGAGAGGTAGGCTGAGCGGTAGTAGCTGGAGGAAAATGAGTTGGTGGGGATTTATTTAGTTATTTAGTTATTGTTTATCTGGGGGAAGTAAGTTTGAACAGGATTAAATGCTTATGAAAAGGATTCAGTAGATGGAGAGGAAAGATTCAAGAGAAACAAGGTAAATAGGCAAAGTCTCTGAGAAAGGAGGAGAGCCTGAGATCTAGATTATAATGGGAGCCTTGATCTTAGATAATGAAATGCTTTAATCTTGCACTAGAGAGGAGTATAGTTGAAGGTTGTCGTTCAAAGTTATCTTCTATTTGATGATTCTGGTTTTCCTTGTGAAGTAATGGCAAGATCATGTCTTGAAAGTCCTGACAGAAAATGAGTGGGCTTGAAGAGTGGGAAGAGAAGGTGTGAAATAGTAATTGAGGAGAATGGTTGGGTTAAATGATTATAGTGAAGTGTTTTGGGGCAAAGTTGAAGCCTCAGATGAGATTAATTTTCTGTGTGGTCTGTTGGGTAACTTTCCTCCAGTAGTGATTTGTATCCCCAATATAAACACAAAGGTAGTTAGTTTAATTCATCTAAGGTGTCATTTTGGCATGCCAGAATACTGAAGGACAGTGGGGCAAAGGGAATTTAGGATACTGGCAAGAGATTGCTTGAAATTGTGGACCACTGGATACAAACTGGTTAAGAAGAAAAATGAAGATAAGAGAAATGCTGATGGACAGTAAGAAGGTTAATGGGTTAATGGACTTGGGATTCCATTGTGAACACGAAGCAGTGTAATGGGAGTAAATGAGAGTGAGCTAGAAGGCTGAGAAGTTTGGAAGATAGTGTGAGTTCAAGTGTCAGATGATGGGAGGGTCCATGGTGTGATCTTAGCAATCAAGAGTTCATTGAAATCTGGGAGAGTGTCTTTAGAGATGAGATCAGAAAACTTAAATCCCAAACAATGGGCTTTTGAAGTCCCTTGGTATGATGATGGGTCTTGAAGTAGAGGAAAAAACATATGAGCTCCTGTCCATCATCAGTGATTGAGAGTGAGTCATTAGAAATTTGGTAGGTGGCAGTTGAGCTGAAGGCATAGTTTGAAGAGATCAGGAGCTTGTACCAAAGGGTGTAAAGTAGCAAGCTTCTCACTTGATTTACTGCAGTATCCTTACTCAGTCTCCCTGCATCCAGTGTTTCTCCCCTCCATATCTTCTCACACACTTATCCAATTATTCTGAAGTCTGACACCCTTTTTGTAAAATCTCCAAAAATTTTCTTTGCTGAGAAAATAAAATAGAGAGTCCTCACCTTGCATTCAGAGCCTTTCATGATCTGGCTCATCCCCAGTCTGTCTGTCCAGCTTTGTCACCTCATCCCTTAATCTTCACCAAATAATAACCAACTCCAATTCCCCTAAATGCTACCATTTCCTTTTCTTCTTGCATCACTTTGTTAATATTCTCTCTGCTGTCTAGAATGCTTCCCACACTGCTGCACATCCATTACCTACTGTCCTTGAGGCCTAGAGCAGATTACAGCTCTGTCATGAAGAACTTCTATACCCCTTCAGGTGGAAGTCATTTCTTTTTCATCTGGGCATTAATAGTAATCATCTTAATGAATGGCATTGACCATTTTCTAATCTCATTAAGTATTTGTGTGTCTTCTAGATTATAAACTCTTTGGAGATAAGATTTCTGATTTTCTTTGCATCTTTTCAATATTTCATACAGTATAAACAGAATAAGTGAATAACCTAAAATATGTTAGTGTTCATTGTATTGTTTATGTTTATCCCGTAATTTATTAGTAGGTAGTCATGTTTGTCTGTAAATGATCATTTAGTTAAAAAGTTTGACCTTTTAACTTTATCACTGAAATTTTTTAAAGTGTGTATATTATGCTTATATTCACAGCCCCATGCAATCATTCGTCATACCATTAGATCTACAAACAGGAATGCCAGAGCTGAACGGACAGCTTCAGAAATAAATTGTATGTGTTTGGTATACATTTTCAATTGGTGGTCTCGGAGGGTTGAGCTGGGTGTTCTCGTGGGTCTTACTGGAATAATAAAATTTCAGACTAACTGAGGCTACATGCTTTAACATATCAGAATACCTTTAAAATAGAGGTTGTTTCTCTGGTTTATAATGGAATTTTCTTATTTTTTAATTAAATGGTGTTTACTTACTAATTATAGAGGTAATATATGTTCATTTTAGAAAATTTGTAAGAGGAAAAAAATAAAAAATTAACATTGCCCATAATCTCATCACCCAGCACCAACCCACAGGTAATATTTTTGTTAATTGCCTCCATGTTTTTCCATGTGTGTTTTTACATGGCTGAATTTATGCTAGGCATAAATTTTTTACTGAACACAGAAGCATTTCCCATACACTAATCTGGCCCTCCTTTTTTCATTGAGTTAATACACTGTAGTTGTATAGTTTCCGATTGTTGGACATTTGGGTTGGTTTCAGTTTTTTTAGGTTACTAGGAGAGGTGTATCTTTTCTAAAATGTCTACTTAAAAGGGGAAATTGATTGTTATTCTGTAAATTAGTCATTGACAAATATTTGGTATCAATGATATTTGTCATTTTAGCCACATTAATTTAGAAGAACAGATTTGCAAAGAAGTTTTAGGTATATTGACTTAAATGTATACTTGTTTCAAAAAAGATTTAAAGAAGTTTACAATAAAATAAGATATATAAACCCTAATGAAGGAATATAATTTATTAAATGTATAGACTAATTAGAATTATTGTAGATGAACATTTTGTTGAAGTCTGAGTTTTCTTAAACCAAATATTTCTAGCTTTATACAGCTTTGGAAATATAGGTCAATGGGGAGTTAGAATGTCCTTCCTGTATCAGTTGATTCAATCAGGCTTTTCTTAGTTAAACCAGTAACCGGAGATTTTATCTCTTTGTTAATCCCAGATTGCTGATACTTCTTATGCTATCTTCTTATATAATCCCAAGTCAACTCTCTGGACTTCAAATACCATACAGAAAAGTAGCAAAGTTGCTCTTCCATTATAAAGCCATCTTCTTTATTTTATGCATCTGTATAAATATTCAATTAATATAGTCTAATTTATCTATATTTTCTTCTATAACTTTTGGGTTTTGTGTCATATTTAGCAAGGCCTTCCTGATTTTAAGGTTATAAAAGAATTCTATTATTTTTTTCTTGTATTTTTACACTTTCACTGTTACAATATTTAATAGTTGATATACAGTATTAATTTATTTGGTAAGATGTATAAAGTTTGTATACAATTTTAGTTTCTTTTTACATGACTACCCATTTGTCTAAATACTAATTATTAAAAACTTAATATTTTTACTAATGGATTTGACATGCTACCTTTATGATGTACTAAATGACCATATATTTTTTTGGATTCTTTCCAGAAATTCTCTTATTGCATTATTATGTCTAGTCATGTGCGAATAGCATAATTTGATTATGTCTTTATAATACCTGTTAAAATCGTTAAGACTAATTATCCTCCTACTCCCCTCACTCTACCTCCCCCACTTTTGTTATGATAGTTAGCTATTGTATTCTCCCCACATAAACTTAAGAATCAATGTATCTAGTTAAAAAAATTCTCAGTGTTTTTACTGAGATCTCATAAAAGGTCATGTACTAACTTTGGGAGAGTCGACACCTATAAGGTAGTCTGTCTTCTTAACTTAAAATAGGCTTTTTCAGAGGTAAGTAAGTTCAAGGCTTAGTTCTTTCATGAATGACCAGAGTACTAATGTCTTCGTGGAGTAAGCTCTGTGCTTTAAGTACCAGAAAAAATTTGATAAAGTTGAAGGTCATTTTATTGGTGATTTATCTTTAAATTTTCTTGAGTCTTCTTTTGTGTCCATCAAGAGTATTTTATAGCTTTGTTTTTATTTGTTTAATAGATTTTATATACACCTAGTTAGTTCTATTCTTAGTTTTTTGTTTCATGTTTAAAATTTGAGCTGGTAACTTACATATAGTAAAATGCTTAGGTGTACTGCATGATGAATTTTTATACATGTATACACTCATAAAACTGATTTTTGATCTGGGGATTAAAAATATAGAACATTATCAGAATCTCTGAAGGCTCCTTTCCGTATGCTCCATTACAATCGATGTCCTTTCTTCATATCCTCTTGCCCTTTCCATTGCCCAGGCTAATCTCTGTTCTGATCCTTTATCACTATAGATTGGTTTTTAGCTGATCTGGGTCTTCAGATAAATAGGATATACAAAATGCACCCTTTTTGCTTGGTTTCTTTTGCTCAACATTATGTCTGTGGGAGTAATTCATGTCATGTATAGCAATCATTGTTTTCATAGTAATCATATTTCATTGTATGATCATATCATAATTTATCCATTCTTTGGTTGATGGGCATTTGATTTGTTTCCAGTTTTGGGCTATTATCACTAGTATAAGCATCCTTCCTGTGTATTTTTAGTGGACATAGTAATTATTACGAGCCTGGCCTAGTCTGAAACCAAGGATAAATGTGTAGCCCAGCAAAGTCAGGTTTCTTGACTCCTTGCAATGAAGGAAAACATACACCAGAGGAACTATGGAACATCTCATTAAACAAAGGAAAAGAAGAGTTACAGGGTTTTTTCTTAGGCTTTATTTATTTTGAGATAGAGAGCAGCAAGTGTGAGCTGGGGGAGGGGCAGAGAGAGAGGGAGAGAGAATTGCAAGCCCACACTGTCAGTGCAAAGCCCAACGTGGGGCTCAGTCTCACAGTGAGATCATGACCTGAACGGAAATCAAGAGTCAGACATTCAACCAACTGAGCCACCCAGGTGGCCCCAAGAAGAGTTAGAGGGTTTTGAAAAGGATAAAGTTCAAGTGAAATGTGACACTACAAAAAAGGGATGTGTATGAAAGAGTGAATATCAGGTCTAATACCATGAAAATTGACCCAGAGGCCTGTTTTGGAAACTTGGAATGTTGTATTGGGAACTCCTTTATTTGAAGATTGTATCTGTTTTCCAACTGGTTATGGTTTCTATTCTCCTGCTTCTTGTCTGGTCATTTTTTTATTATATCTTGGACATTGTGGTGCGACACTGAGTGTCTGGATTTGGTCCTCTTTATCCAAAAGGTGTTTAAAGAGTTTCTTAAGTGGTACATCAGCTTGATCCTTTTAAGGCTTGTGACAGGTTTTACCAGATATTCAGCAGGCTCTTTCCTCTGGTTAGAAATTCAACTATCTTTCCTGGTACTGTGCGATCACCAGAATCTGCATTTAGCTCAGCACTCCTCTGCTAGCTGTTTGTGACGTACTTTGTATAATCTCGTGTTTGCTTATGGGCAATTTAGTATTCAACCAAAGACTTAAAGAGATCTCTTGGCATATTTCTGGAGCTCCTCCTTTATGCAGCTTTCTTATTTCTGGCACTCTGCCCTTCAAATTCCAACTACCTAAGCAGCTCCAATCTTCAGTCTTTGTTTCCAACACCCAGTGAGGCTGGTACTCTCTCTTTGGATTCCACTTTCTTGTGTCCTAGTTTGTAAAGTGCCTCCAGGCAGAAAGCCAGAGTGAATGTGGATCTTGCCACCATGTATTTCCTTTCTCTCAAGGACAGTGCTGTGGTATCTGTTAGCCACTGCCTCAAAACAATTGCTTCACATAATTTATGCGCACATACATGTAACACCAGTGTCTTAGTTGTTTAAAGCAGAAGGAGAAATACAATTCCTGTTACCGTATTATGGCTAGAGCCTACATCATCTTAAAGAGATAAATGAGTATGTATAATAGAAGACCTCCCCATCTTTGTATTTTCATACACCAAAGATGCACCCAAAGGTACTGCTGGTATTTTCTCTAAAACAAAACAACTTCAGGTCCCATCTACCACATAAAACAATGATATAGCATTCTGTGCCGTAGTTATGGCTACAGTTTTAGAAGAGTACTTTTCTTATGTGTTAAAACATCTTCAATGTTTATGAAACTCATTTTCTCTAGGAATTTCTTTTTAAGTATTGAAATTTGCTTGTTATATAATTCTTATTATTAAAGAGTGATATTTTCTCTTTCTTTACCATACTTACACACTTGTGATTCATCTCTACACCTGCTTGCCAGTATTTCTGGTTGTGACAAAAAAACTTTAGCTCATCTCTGTCTCAAATGAGTTGAAGTAGTGATTTCAAGTAGTGGTTTTGAGTTAAGATGTTTTTTAATTATGTTAAGAAATAAATCACTAATAAAGAGCTTTTTATTTTAGGTTATTTTTGAAAAGTAGATACTGTGTTTTATGAAATATCTTCAATCTTTTTTTGGAGATTTTTATGACAATGCTTTTATTTAATGAATTATATAAGTACTTTGTATTACTTTACAAATCTTGTTTTAGGGATAAAGACAACTGGATCCTTTTTGAAAATGATTTTTTAATGTATTTTATTTGCCAAGATTGTATTTGGGGATCTTGCATCTCTATGCTGCAAGTGTTTTTTTTTTTTTTCTCTTTGATCATTTAGTCATTAGATTTTACAGTTTTAAAATTCTGTGTACTTTATGAGTAGATAATAAGCTATCCTTTTCTCTGTTTTAGAATATTTCATATAAAAGAGTAGGCCAAATAAAATATACATTGAACAAAATATAATATTAAATTTCTGAATTCCATTATAACATTTAATTTAATGTTTGTTCTTTTTAGATAATTATAGGTAATTTGGGGAGGTTCATTTCTGCCATAAAGTTGTAGCCTTAGAACAGAGTGTGCAGCCTAGACAGGGAAAATCCTTTAGTCACCATTAGTTTTCTTAGTCACCTACTTTGATTAACTTTTTTAAATCTCATACACAAAGAATTTACTAAGTAGATTTGTAGTAAGCTACCAAATTGTTACCTTCTTTTGGTAAATATAAAGAAAGGTACTCTTGCAGTAAAAAAGTGAAAAAATTTTGTCTTCTTTCTTCTTCTTTCCCCCTTCCCCTCTCCCCTATACATATGCTTCTTGCTACATTTCTGAAATTAACCCTTTAAGATAGAGTTTGTGAATATCTGTTACATATTTTGCAGTTGACAAATTACAGTTCGAACCTCCTCTGAGAAAAGAAACAGAAGCACGGGATGAAATGGTAGGAATTATTACTTCAGAAGTACTTTACACATTAAAATTTGAGAAAACTTATAGTCAGGTAAACTTTGATTAAGGATCAAAGTTATATATTCTTTCAAGCATTAATTTTGATACTGTATTTCACATATTAAAGTTTGAAAAAGCTTATAGTTAGGCATATTTTAACTAGAGTACATTTTGTAATATACCATCTTAACCATTCATATTGACCTTTCTGAATCTTTTGAAGGAGTTACATGAAGTTATTAAATATATGGAATTTGATGTTGAGCTTTAAGCTCTAGGATCTTTTTTTCTTACAGACTGTGTTAGGTTTGTAGTATATTTTTGCATTACCTTACTGTTCTTGATATTTATTTGTTAATATAGCTTCTTTTTTAACCATTGCTCTTATATTTCGAAGTTACTGTTTAGTTAAACATTTTCTTATCTAAAAGGAAAAAAGTAATAAATAGAGCAAGGTATTATCAGAGTTGCCTAGATGTTACCTTAACATTTACTTTATTTTTAAGCTTCGGTAAAGTATAATTTTTCGAAGAATTGCCTTCTGTTAATGGATCTTTTCATTCTTAACATTTGGAAGTAGTACTCTTCTTACTGTATATATTGCTATATATATAATTCACAGTTTCTATGCCAGTGGGGAAAAAATAGTAGCACCAATAAGTTAATGATAATTTAATAATATGTTTCATTTTCCACACTAATGGATTAGTGATGCAGATAATTCAGAGTTATGTTTTTCTGTTTATTTGGAATATACTAGCATTGTAAAGAGGGCTTGTCACACTGAAACTATATTCAGTATGTTTATGGAATTTCTTAAGTTTCAGTCAACAGATAATGAGTCATTGACCTAAATATGTCAAATGGCAGCAAATCTAACTGGAGATTAAAAAATTGATTGAAAGCCAAGATGATTAACAATCATGACACTGAATATTTTCTTGAATCAAATAAAATGATTAATATCTGTTATAAGGGAACATTTTAAACTATTTTTACCTTCACAGGGAGTGTCATCAGACCCAAACTTTGTATTACAATGGAATCCTTTTGTTGATGGTGCAAATACTGGCAAGTAAGTTGTTTGCTAACTTAATATTTTACTTATATTTTACTTTATATAGGAACAGTATTGGGTGGGAGCAATTTATTCTAATAAGTTTTAATTTTCATTCTTAAAAAAAAATTGTGCTCTGCCTCATATCAGTGTAAAGCTTCTGACTTTTTAATTGCCAAAAGGCATCATGTGTTGATAATTAAGATTTTCTTCTTTAAATTCAGCTTAGTGCATGTAATGTTAATTTACTGAAAGATGAGGTACATAATGTCATGGGAAAAAGTTCTGTAGGAGTCACAAAGCCCCAAATCCATTCTGCAGTATAGTTACTTTATATTCTAGACCTGTCTTCCCTCAACAGGTAAGTTACAGGGCCTGCCCAGATATTCCAAGCCTGTGCATTGCCTAGAGAGGTCTTTGGAAGTACAGATCTCTGAGGCCCCCACATTCAGCTTATAGATCTGGGGTTGGCAAACTATGACCTATAAGTCACATCTGGTCCACTGCCTATGTTTTGTACAGTCCACAAACTAGAATGGTATTTAGATTTTTTAATAATTGAAAGAAAATCCAAAGGAGAGTGATACTTTGTTATATGTGAAAATTATATAAACATTTTAGTGTCCATAAGGAAGGTTTGTTGGGATACAGCCATGCTTATTAGTTATGTATTACCTATGGCTGCTTTCACATTATAACAAAGAGTTAAGTACTTGTGACCACTGTATACACTAAAGTTTATAATATTTACTACTGTCTGGCCCCTTACAGAAAAAGTTTGCCAACCCTTGCAACAGAATACGGTCTTTGGGACTCGAATCTCCGAATCCTAAAAGCTTCCCAATTGATTACAATAACTCTAGATAAATAAGCGTATGGAACCAGTGAGCTAGATCAGTGATTCTTAAGTTTTGATGTGCCTGGAAGATCACCTGAAGGTTCTGATTCCATAGGTCTAGACGATACATATGGAAGTTTCAAGGTGATGCCAATATTGTTAATCTATGTACCCCACTTGGGCTAGCAAAAAGGGTTTGATGATATGGCCACTTGAATCTATGATTCACAGTGGCTTCCAACTCTAAAATTTGGAATCTGTTTTTTTACTAAGTTTAATTTTTATTACATACTAAATATGCAGAGCATAACCACAAAGTAAAAAGACTTTGTATTCATTTTATACAAATCTATTTTATAGTCCTGCTAATACAGTTTGACATAATGAGGTCTTAGGTCTTTCTATAGGTTTTAAAAATTCTCTTTATCATGATCTAAAGAATGTAAACAATTTTAATGCACATTTATTAGAGTATCTATTTTATGTTACATTTACTACCATCTGAATTGCATTTTTCTCCTTGTGTTAGATCAACCTCAAAACGTGCAATACCACCTCCCCTACCTCCTAAGGTGAGCAACTTAAAATTTTTGAATAAATCCTTTTTTTAATAATAAAATAATTAAAAAGTAATTTCATTGAATTTGTTCAAAATTCTCTTAAATATGCTTTAGATAAATACAGTTTTTTTTCAAGAGGGGATTACAAAGATGTAAAATATATATTAAAAAACTTCCTGAGAAATACAATATTTTAATAGCTGTAAGAAAAAGGTAAAAATCACATACTCATTTGAGAAAATACTCGACTACATGAAGAGGAAACAGAAAGAGTTCATCATTTACAGTCCTCATTTAGTATGGCAATTTCCTATTTCAATGGAGTAATACTTCATTAAGTCCTTGCTTATTCCTGCTTATTAAATATTTTGTGGATTGTTTATATAATTTTATCAGTTTAAAATTATATCAGGTTTGGCTTAGGGATGATTAAAAAATCACATGGCAAGTTCTTAGTTGTGTTGGGACAGTAACTCTTGTTTATTTTTCTTACTTAGCTTAGTGAGTTGAATTACATAGCAAAAAGAAAAAATCACATACCTCCCCACCCCCTAAAGTCTTAGGTGGGTAATGATAATGAAGTGTTACTGTTTCATATCCAAATTTATTAAAGTACTCTTATGTCTTATTATCACAGCCAAGGATAAACAGCTACCCTGAAGACAACCTCCTAGATGAAGAAAAATCATCAACTGTAAAACGTTGCCCTGATTCAGAGAACAGAGCTCCCCAGTTTCTCAGAAGACAGAGTAGCCCAAGTTGTGGTCCTGTAGCTGAGACTTCCTCTATTGGTATGGCTAGCAGTGTCAGCAGTCCTGGAGTGCATACAGCTAGATACTGTGATCTGGGTAAATAAATCAAAGTGAAAACTGAAAAGAAAGCCATTTTCATATTTTAAAGAATGTCTTTGGTCACTCTTTTAACTGTTTAAAGCTTTCTGAAGTTACTTTAAAATTCCACGTGGGCGGACTGTGAATAGATTCAGTCCAAGTGAACCCTGATTTGATTTCTTAAGTAATATGATAGGTCTTAGAATGATGAATGGATGTTCCTGCCCTCCAGAAGTTCAGGATCTGTAGCAGAAGTTACACCCTATGGGTACCTGTAACATTAGACAAGACAGCTTATGTAAGTGTCTCATACAGTAATTAACTATAGTAATAGAAGATGAGAAATTTTCCAGGAAGATAAGGATAGGGAAGAGAGTGGGGGGCGGGGGGGCTTGCAGAGCATTAAAATAGATGGATCCTTCATTAGTGGGAGCCAGTGCTGACAGGCATGCCTGATGAGCAAGAAAGAATGAACAAATGCACTGACAACCTGGATTGTGTTGGAAGTATACTATGGGAGAAGTGTGAGCTTTTGAAAGGTGTATACTAGGAGATAGAACTAAAAAGGTAGACTGGAGTTCAGTTATGAAAGGCCTTGAATATATCAGGCCTGAATATCTGAATATCAGATTTCATTTTTCTCACAACCTGGAAAGACAGTTGTTGTTTACATTGATTAAGACCACTGCTAGAGATGCAATGCTACTTCTATTGAACTTAGAGAACAGCACTGAAGATACTTTAACTCATCTGCCAGTAGAGAATATTTCCCAGTAAAGGATCACCCAAATGGAAAACAAGTATTGGGGGAAAGGGAAAATTATTTTTCAAGGAAGGTACTTATTTGTATGTTCATTCAGCTTTAACCATGATTCTTTTTAGGAGATGGTGATGGTATTTCAAAACTAATTAGTGAAAATACAGAAGGATCAGCACAAGCACCCCAGTTACCACGGAAAAAAGACAAGCGAGATTTCCCGGTAGGTGTAACAGGCATTTGGTGATTAGTTGTAACGATTACCGTGTTTATCATAGAGAGGCAGTGTCTGTTTTGGTGGGCAGGGGGCATTGTCTCTTTAATTCAAGAATTAGATAACTAAATTTCCAAATGTATAGGTGTTTTTTTAAGGCTTAAGAGATCTTAAAGCAATAAAAATTATTTTTCCCACAGAAACCAGCCATCAATGGCCTTCCACCCACTCCAAAAGTGCTGGTAAGGAATATTTTTATGTGAACCACTTGCCAATTTTCATCTCTTTAGAAGCAGCAGATTTTTTGTTTGCCGTCAAGTATCTTGAGCTATTGAATGGAAGGATTCATAAAATACAAAGGCATAAATGCATTTTGATACACCACGAATCAAATCATGTACCCTAATGTGAGTGAGTTGGTTAGAACTTGGAAAGTTTTGCTTTTTGTAAATATGGCAATTGGGTTCTCAGAGTAGCCTTGAAAGGCCAGTTTAACTTTAATGTGATGATATCAGTAGTACTGTGTCCTCTTCATTATATGGGTTAAATTCCTTTCTGCCCCTGAAGCCATTTTCACACTGAACTATACACAGTGAACGGGGAAGCTTATCTTAGTGCTTGTTCTCTGGCTCTCCGAGGTGGTTCAGCCAATCATATGAATGGGATGCTTTATAAATTATACCTTGTTATTCAGTAAAAGTCTAATATGTAATGTAAATATTAGTCTTTTTGTCTGCTTCACTATTACAGAGTTACACTGCAATTACAATCACTGTGATGTTGCTCAGTAATATCATCCATTATTTCACATTATTAAATGTTAGTCCTAAAGATAAGTGGGGACTTAAAATTCCTAAAATAGATCACTGACATATGTAGATGTTTTGGTAAATTTGTTATTTTTGCCCTGAAATAGTGGATTACACAAGGCAACAATAGGAGACTCTATTGTTAGAAGTCATTAAATGATATCAAAATAGGAATTTTGGTAATGAAACCATAAACATATGCAAGTAAGAGTGAATTTAGCATTTTGTAATCTTAGCTGATTTCTAAGAATATATAAAATTACATAATCAAATAAGTCAATATTTCTTTCTTTATAAATAAGATGGGAGCATGTTTTTCCAAAGTTTTTGATGGCTGCCCTTTGAAAATTAATTGTGCAACATCTTGGATACATCCTGATACAAAAGGTAAAATTTCTGAACTTTTTTTTTTAAATGTTTATTTGAGAGAGAGAGAGAGTGTGCGCCTGCCCACACTTGTACATGTACATGTGAGCTGGGGAGGGGCAGGGAGAAAGGGAGAGAGAGAATCCCAAGCAGGCTCCCCACACTGTCAGCGTAGAGCCCGACAGGGGCTCTGTCTCACAAACTGCATGTTCTTGACCTGAGCTGAAGTCAAGAGTCGGGCACTCAATAGACTGAGCCACCCAGGTGCCCCTGAAATTTCTGAACAAAATTATATACACCTCTAATAAAATATTTATTATGAAAAAAGATATTTATGGTCAGTGAACTGAAGTTATTTAAAAATATTACTTTAGAGACTAAATAGTATAGATACCTGCAACAACCTAAATTGGTAGATAAGAGTTTTGGTTTAACCTTTAGAATTTAAGAGTATATGGGAACTGTTCTGATTAAAGGAGACTGAATAGACATGCCACAAGTGATTGCAACCATAATTAGGGATTTTCTGTCATATAAAAGGACAATACTGGGACAGTTGATAATCTCAATCAGTGAAGTCATTACAGTAGATAATAGTATTGTGTCAGTGTTAATTTCCTGATTTCGAACATCATACTGTGGTTATATAACACTTCTGTTTTTCTTTTTTTAAGATGTGCACACTGAAATATTTAGGAATTAAGGGGCATCGTGTTTGTAACTTAAACAGCTCAGAAAAAAAAATGTGTGTGTGTAGAGTGAAAAAAGGATAAAGCATAAGTAGTAAATGGTAATATTTGTGGAATCTGTGTGAAGGATATTCAGGAATTCTTTGTACTATTAAAACTTTTCTATAAATCTGAAATAATGGCAATATAACAATTTATTTTTAAAAATTTATACTGTATGTTTTTAAAGTGAGGAAACCTAATACATAGAGGTAAAAATTTGGAATCAAATAGACCTGGGTTTGAATTCCTGCTCTGTCACTACTATATGACTTGAGAAAGAAACTTTACACCTCTGTTCTCAGTGTGATCATTTTACAACATAAATACTCTTACCACTCACCTCACTGCAAGGAAGGAAAAAGCCTGCCTACCTGAGTGTCTGGCAATTAGCAAACAGAGTAGGCAAAAAAGGGTGTTCAAGAAATGTTTGTTTCCACTTTAACATAATAATGTAAACAAGTCGTATAATTATCTGCTTTAAATGCTACTGTTAGAAATATAACAAAAAAAAAGTATTTTTATCAGTAAAGAAATGTTTTTTGTGTGTTTGTAACTTTTTATTTTGATATAATTTCAGACCTAACAGAAAAGTTAGAAAAATAGTGTAAGAAACTCCTCTATACTCAGAATCATCAGTTATTTCTATTATTTATCTGTATGTGCATTTTTTTCTGAATTACTTGAGAGTGGCTCTGTGTACTTCATTTTGTATTTCCTAGGAACAGAATCATCTCTTACATACCCACAGTACAATTGTGAAGATCAGGAAATTTATCATTGATTTAATACATAGTCCATATTTATTTTTTGATTGAAGTATAGTTGACATCACAGTCCATGTTTAAATTATTGTCTCAATAATATTCTTTATTGTCTTCCCCCTTCTTTTTTCCCCAGTCCAACAACATCTAATTCAGGATCACAGGTTTTATTTAGCTACCACAACTGTTCAGTCTCCTCACGTCTGGAACAGTTCTTCAACCTTTCTTTGTGTCTCTTGATCTTGACATTTTTGGAACTATTTTGTAGAATGTCACTTAATTTGGGTTTGTTGATGAGTCCTCATACTTAGATCAAGGAATGCATTTTTGGTGGGAATATGAAAGAATTGTGCTCTTCTTAGTGCATCGTATCAGAAGGTACATGCTGTCAGCTTGTCCAAACACTAGTGATACTAACGTTGACCATCTGGTTAAGGTGGTGTTCACTAGCTTTCTCCACTGTCAAGTGACTATTTTTCCCTTTTTAATTAATTAGTAATTACTTGATAAGTAATATGGAATACATTGAGACTATATAAATATCCTCTTGTTCATCAGACTTTAACCAACTGGTTTTAGCATTTATTGATTGTTGACAATCCACTGACATCCATGGACAATTTCTCTTCTTTTCCATTTATTTATGTACATATATTAGTTTGAACTTATGAATTTTATTCAGGGAGATATGATCTATTAATATTATTATTTATTTTAGCGCTTAAATTGTCCCAGAATTTTTGAGCAGGGAGAGTTCCTATGTTCTTTAGTTTAATGTTTGATCACTTCCTACCTTTCTGGCACAGGAAGATTTCTAGGCTCATCTTACACTTTTCTTGCCCCAGAATTGGAATCCATCTTTTCTCCAAGCAGCCCTGGTTCTTTCTAGTGCAAAGTAATATATTTAGGAACCAAGATCTGGACACTAGGTATGCTCATTGTTTCTGGTGTGTCATGATTTATAATTTCTATTTAATTCACAGTGTCCTTCAAAGAGTATTTGAGATACCTGGCAAAAATACAGTTACATTGAAAAATCTTAAGACATGACAATTATGTTGAAAGAAAGGATTATATAAGATAAAGCTAGAGTGAATGAGTAACAGAGAATATATCTGCTTTTAAAAATAAGATCAGAATTGGAGAAAAATGTAAAGAAGATGGCATGAACTTTAGAAAATAATTTTTCTTCGGATGGGTGGGTGGCCAGCTAACTCTCAATACCATTAAATCACAGAGCCATTTTATTTAATTATTTCAGAAAATGATAGTAAATTCTGGTGATTTATCTTAACTGTTTTAGATCAGTACATTATTTTTGGAACTGAAGATGGTATTTACACATTGAATCTCAATGAGCTACATGAGGCAACGATGGAACAGGTAATTTAGGAGTTTTAACTCAAGAAATTAGTGTGGGTGTATTGGGTAAAGAAGTCTTGTAATTTTAAATCAATTTTTATGGGCTTCAGTTGAATGTTTATGACTTAAATATTTAAGGAGATGAAATTGTATTCTTTACATGTTCACATTACAAGTTTTTTTTGTAAAGTTTCTGTAATTTACTAAAAGGTAGAAAATAGTTATTTTTATACTATTTCAGACTGTTAGAATTTGGATGTTAAAGCATAAGGGAATGAAAACTGGAGAATTTTAATTTCCTTCTTTTTTTTTCTTTATAGTTATTTCCACGGAAATGTACTTGGCTCTATGTTATCAATAATACTTTAATGTCATTATCAGGTATGTATATAATGAAAATAATGTGAAAAATAAACCGTAGACAAGCAGAGAAATGTAATATTTTTAATTAAAGCATAGTTGACACAAGAGAAAGATAATTTTAATAGACGTTATTTTGTAAGTGTTATTTGTTTTACTATGTATAGTAACTTTGCAACTTGCAGATGTTTTCTACAAACTTAGAATGGGAAGAAACTTTGAGAAAGGACCCTGTGTTCAGTTAAGGTAGCACTTCCCAAACCTGTCCAGGATGTAAACACCTGAGGACTATCCGGTTGATTGTTACCTGAGGCCATCCCCTTCCACTCAGACTCCTCCACCCTCACTGTCGCTATCACCGTGTGCCTTCCATGGAGAATTACCAGTGGAAGAGAAGGAATCAGAGAATCTTGCTGCTCCCTTTCTCTGTGATCTTGAACAAGTGACCTTCTCTTGGCCCCAGTCTTCTTAGTTGTGAAATGTGGACAATGGTAACAATAGCAGCCCATGAGGTTGCTGTGAGGATTAAATGAGACGATCTCCAGAGTGCTTATTAGTAAACAGTGAAGGCTCGCACAGACGTGTGCTGACAAAATTCACGTAGGGTAGGTGGTATTTTAGGCCCTTTTTTTTTTTTTTTTTGCAATTCTTACCTACTAAAACCTATTTCCTTACATTTTAAAATGACTAGAGGTTTGCTGTTCACTTTCATTCTAATAGTAGAGCACAGGAAAGTTAGTTATTTCTCTCTGTCCCTTAATTAATAATCCTAATGCTATCAGCTATTAAAATAGCATTCGCCCCTTTTCTCTATTTAGAATAATTATTTTAGTATTTCTCAAATTTTGTTCAGTTCTCTGTATGTATTATAACTCAGCTCTTATTTACTGTACTGTCAGGCTTTTCAGTATTGAGTGTACCTTTCGCTATTTATACTTTTTTTTTTTTTAAGTTTATTTAAAAAAAATTTTTTTTTCAACGTTTATTTATTTTTGGGACAGAGAGAGAGACAGAGCATGAACGGGGAGGGGCAGAGAGAGAGGGAGACACAGAATCGGAAACAGGCTCCAGGCTCCGAGCCATCAGCCCAGAGCCTGACGCGGGGCTCGAACTCACGGACCGCGAGATCGTGACCTGGCTGAAGTCGGACGCTTAACCGACTGCGCCACCCAGGCGCCCCTTAAGTTTATTTTATTTAGAGAGAGACAGCACACAGGGGGAGGGGCAGAGAGAGAAAGGGAGTGAGAGAATCCCATGCATGTTCTGCACTGTCATTGCAGAGCCTAACGCAGGGCTCAATCCCTTGAACCGTGAGATCATGATCTGAACTGAAGCCAAGAGTCATATAGATGCTCAACCAACTGAGCACCCAGGCACCACTAGCTACTTATGCTTTAAAGCATCAGTGCTGATACACAGCCTTACTGATAGGCAGATTATTATGAATTGTGGCCTATTTAAGAAATGTAATTTTCATAATTTTAAGTGTGTGTATAATTTGGGGCACCTGGGTGGCTCAGTCGATTGAGCGTCTGACTTCAGCTCAGGTCATGACCTCACAGCTTGTGAGTTCGAGCCCCGCATCAGGCTCTGTGCTGACAGCTTGGAGCCTGGAGCCTGCTTCGGATTCTGTGTCTCCCTCTCTCTCTGCCCCTAACCCACTCACATCCTGTCTCTGTCTCTCTCAAAGATGAATAAACATTAAAAAAAATTTTTTTTTAATAGCTTAAGTGTGTGTATAATTTAAACTCTTCCACTAATCGTTGCTTATTAGAGATTCTTCAGAAATTTGTATATTTGAGCTGATGACAGTGTTTACAAAGACCATATTATTTGGTTGCACATAAGTGACTTCTAAAAAGCTGGGGTCCTTGTAAGAGTACTTAATCTCTTTGATTTTAATTATGCTTCCCCCCAGTTTTTTTTTATTTCTATTACCAAAATATTAATATATTACTATTATGAAAATAAACCCAATTCTGTTTAACAACTCTGAATTGTATACATGTAAAATCACTTTCCTCTAACTCTCTTTTTCTATCCCTATTCCTACCTGTCCTTGGATATAAGCTTACAAGCCACACAGAGACAGGACAGCTGGGTGGTTCAGATGGTTAAGCATCTGACTCTTGATTTTGGTTCAGGTCATGATTTCACGGTTCATGGGATCAAGCCCCGTGTCAGGCTCTGTGCTGATAGCACAGAAATTCTGTCTTGGGATTCTGTCTCTCCCTTTCTCTCTGCCCCTCTCCTGCTCACTCTCTCTCTCAAAATAAATAAATAAACTTAAAAAAAAAAATCACACAGAGTACATCTTACATATTTATAAAATAACTACAGGAAAATGGGGAAAAATTAGCCTGTAAATTAGATCTTTCCATATTCTAGTTGACTTAATGAAGGTAAGTAGCAGAGCTCAGCAGAAGAAAACATGATTCTGCCTATGGGTCTGTGTTTGTGTGGATGTGCACACATAAATATTACATGCGTGTTCTAGTTAGGGTAGCTAGCTATGTATATAAGGGGGCAATGGAGAGTAGAAGGGTGTGGTATGGAGTTAGAATGTTTGCATTCCGAGAAAATACAAAGACTTTTGTTGAGGATAAGACTCAACACTGTAGCATAAGATTATATCATATACATTTGACCCTTGAAAAATGTGGGTGTTCAGGGTCACTGACCCCTGGTGCACTTGAAAATCCCTACATAACTTAGGACTCTCCAGAACTTAACTACAACAGCCTACTGTTGACTGGAAGCATTATGATAACATAAACAGTTGGTTAACACATATTTTGTATGTTATATGTATTATATACTACATTCTTAAAATAAGCTAGAGAAAAAAATGTTGTTAATAAAAATCATAAAGAAAATATATTTATAGTACCATACTGTATTTATTTTAAAAGGTCCATGTGTAAGCAAGCAGACCCACACAGTTTGGACTTGTGTTCAATGGTCAGCTGTGTATGTTTTCTGATAGTAAAATGACAAATACTGTTTTATGTTGTTACAGTACCATACCATATATAATGAGGAATCAGAAGATGCTTCCCTTATCTCCCCCTGCTTAACACAGCTATGGTTTTGATTGTATGGAAATTGTAGCTCCATTATCCTTGTATTATAGCATATAATATTAGTTTCTTTACTTTAAATTTTTTTTTTTTTTTTCAACGTTTATTTATTTTTGGGACAGAGAGAGACAGAGCATGAACAGGGGAGGGGCAGAGAGAGAGGGAGACACAGAATCAGAAACAGGCTCCAGGCTCTGAGCCATCAGCCCAGAGCCCGACGCGGGGCTCGAACTCACAGACAGTGAGATCGTGACCTGGCTGAAGTCGGACGCTTAACCGACTGCGCCACCCAGGCGCCCCAGTTTCTTTACTTTTCTTAGTATTTTAATCTGTTGTTATATTTATAAGACTTCATTCACAATTAATTTTAATCCAAGGTGTTTTGAAAAATTATCAGTAAATAGGTCTATCCCAGAAAGATAGTGTGTATAGTTTTACAGAATTCTCCATGTTATACTAAAATATTCACATGTGCATCATTGTAACTCAGTCCTCTGTATAACAGTGTTTAACAGTTTTTCTTTCTGTGCTGGCTTCATTAAGGCTTATATATATTCTGCCCAGAACACCTGTTAGTCAGAACATACCCAATTTGTGCATTAGAAAATGCAGTTATCTGCTTTCTTAAAATTTTCTTATCCTTCAAAATGGTATTAACTGGGTGTTGTGTTTTTTTGTGTTTGTTTTTTGTTTGTTTTTTTGTATGTGTTTTTCTATTTTGCTTGGCTCTTTGAACATTTCTGGACTCCTTATTTTAGAAGGTAATTATGTTTTCTTTTGCTTGAAAATTCTTGTTTCTCTGCTGTAAAAGATTCTAATAAAAGTAACATGTTTCTCTTTTATAGGAAAAACCTTTCAACTCTACTCTCATAATCTTATAGCTTTGTTTGAACAAGCCAAAAAACCAGGATTAGCTGCCCATATTCAAACTCATAGGTTTCCAGACCGCATACTACCAAGGTACAAAATATTTTAATTCTATTGGGAGTGAAGGGCCTTAGTGTCTATTTTTAAAACAGCCAGTATTCCTTGCCCACTAAAAAACTTCCTTTGTTTTAATTTTGAAAGGTAATTTACACCAAAGTGCATGTCATATAGAATGCAAAAGATGAGTGTTTCCTTAACTTGACCGTGCAGGAGAATCACCTGTAGAAGCATTATAAATACAAATTTCCAGGCCCTGCCTCAGTCCTAGAAAATGAGATAGTTTGGGGTCAGAATCCAAGACTGTTTTTTTTAAAGCTGCTTGACTGATGCAACTAATTCACAGATCATTGTTTGGGAACCACTGCAGTAGAGTACATTTATATTGTCCTATGTTTTCAGAAAGTTTGCTTTAACAACAAAGATTCCTGATACAAAAGGCTGCCACAAATGTTGCATAGGTGAGTAAATGCTATTTTTCAAACTGGATAATTAGAACTTTGAACATTTTTTTAATTCTTTAAGGCTATGGAGAGTCTTATAGTATCAAATAGGAAGGAAAGGAGCCTTTATATTTCTTTTTAAAGAGTAGTTAAGGGGCCATTGGAGCACAAGACTCTATGGCAGGACATGGCATAAAAATGTTTAGAGGTAATAGTCCTAATGCTTTCACAGAACATAGTGTTCCTACAGCGTTCCTGGTTTTTAACCATAGTCCCTGAGGCTGTATCTCTGCTAATGTCCTAGTTTATCATTTATTACTTACCATTTATTTAACACTTTCATTTTATATAACTGTTATTGCGTAGTGCTTTACGATCATTATTACAGGAGTTTAGCTAACTGAAGTTAGAGGGAACAGTCTACACAAGACCACCCTCACTTCTGATACCAGTTGCAAGTTTGGGGGCTTTCCAAAAACACCCTCATGTTAAAAAAAATTCTCTAGAAAGACTCAGGACTCACTGAAAGTAGTTACATTCATAGTTATGGTAGGGATAGAGATTAAGATCAGCCAAGAGAAGACGTTCATAGGGCAGAGTCCAGGAATAGTGCCAAACATAGAGCTTCTGTTGTCCTCTCCCCATGGAGTAATGGGCAGTGTTACTTTTCTGGCAGTGATGTGGGATGGTGCACATGGAGTACTGCCACAGGGAGCATACATCAGCCTCAATACTCAACAGTTTTTATTAGGGCTCCATCACACAGGCATGATTGATTGTCTACATGGCTGATCTCAATATCCAGTACCTCTAGAGGTCAGTTCGTACTGTATGACCCAAAGCCCCTACTCTAAATCACATTGTCAATCTTTTGGCATGACTGTCCTTCACCCTAAGAACGTCCAGCATTGCAAGCCCCCAATCTAAATCATATTGTTGAGGCAATTCATTGACACAAGGCCCCAGGCAAATGAAGACACTCTTATCAGACATGACATTCTCCTGAGGCCTAGAGATTACCTTCCAAAGTGGGGGCGGGGGGGCGGGGTGCGGAGGTGGGCACAGGCTAGACCTCTTTTGGAGCAAGGTTAAATTCTTTACTGTTTAATTATCTTATCTCATTTAACCCTCAGATAACCCCATGATACCTGGGATCAGATACCCAGATACCTGGGATCAGACCCGGTCTAATGACTTCAGATCCTGGGCTCATAACTTCCTGTTTAATTCTGTTTGTTGAAGCAGTGAGTGTATTCATTGGTCTTCATGCTGCATAGTTGCATAGCATATGTTCCTAGTTATAAACAAATTTCATGAGCATTTTCTAGGAAGAATCAGGTTCATATCTATTATCAGATTCCCAAGATCTATGACTCAAGAAAGGTCTAGAAGCTTATATATAATCTAAGATATAAACTCATAAATACATTAAGGTAGAGCTTATTGCAAATAACTACTCTTGTAATTGGTACACATAATTGTTGATGAGAGTCAAATTGGGGAGAAGGACAGACCAATACGAGTTTTTGTAGATTTGAGTCAAGAAAGTAACATCTTTAGTAAAATGTAAAAGTTAGGAAACTAGCAAACTAGTAAGACAAGTTTCCATCTTGACTTAAGTAGACAACTGTAAACTACTCTACCAAGAATGAAATCATAGATTTCGGTTACTTCCTAGACCTTCTCTTTCACTCAATTTACTTAAAAAACAAACAAACAAAACAAAAAACAACAAAACCCAGCTCTTTAGGTTGCAAGTAAGTTTAGGTGTTTTAGTGCTTAAAATATCATCCTCGTAGAAATTTCCTATGTTTAACAACGTAGCCTACTGAAGATGTTTAGAAGTAAATGTATATGATTTAAAATTGAGATAAAGTGAAAAGGAAGGAGTAACAAAGCCAGAAGAGAAGACATCATCTTTCTTTACTTACTGTTACCACCCTGGTGAATAGAAACAATGATTTTCCTTTACCAGCTAAATTATGACTTAAAATAGTTTCTTCTTCCATCCATATTTTGATATTGATGGCAGGCCACATTTCATTGTTTTTCCCATAGATCATCCCTGCCTTTATAAAGAAAGTGAGTTAGCTCTTGTATTAGCATAGCTCAGTTGTTACTTTTAATTAACTAAACTAATTATGTTTTCACATCAAGGTAGTCAGTGTTTTGGTTATGTCTGTTCTGCTTTGTTTCTTTCCAGTCAGAAACCCTTACACAGGACATAAATACCTCTGTGGAGCTTTACAGTCTGGAATTGTTTTACTCCAGTGGTATGAGCCTATGCAGAAGTTCATGTTGATAAAGGTACATGTTACTCTGTAGTTTTCTTCTTTAGAAAATACTAGTGTGTAACTGAAGCTGAAAGTACAAGATCTCAGTACTACTGTCTAGGGTCAGCACATTTATAGTTATTTATGGGTGTTTACTTACTTGGTTTAGGAGTTCTTGCATTCCTGTTAAGATTTCTTCTTTAACTTATGTCAATAAACTTATAGAAGCATTGCAACCATAAAGATGAATATGGCCAATTCTCTAAAACTATTTTATAGAAAACTCATCCTTATCAAGATGTTAGATGTAATCCTTTTTTGAAGTAGATCAATCAAGGAGAAAATGAAAGCCTTTTTTTGGCTTTATTCAATGGTATGAGTGGAGAGATTGTTTCTAAGTTATACTTCTGTTTGTTTTTTCTCAGCACTTTGATTTTCCTTTGCCAAGTCCTTTGAATGTTTTTGAAATGCTGGTAATACCAGAACAGGAATACCCTATGGTCTGTGTAGCTATTAGCAAGGGCACCGAGTCAAATCAGGTCGTTCAGTTTGAGACAATCAATTTGAACTCTGCATCTTCATGGTTTACAGAAATTGGCGCAGGTAAGTGTTTTTTTTTTTTTTTTTTTTTTTTTTAATTTTTTTTTTTCAACGTTTATTTATTTTTGGGACAGAGAGAGACAGAGCATGAACGGGGGAGGGGCAGAGAGAGAGGGAGACACAGAATCGGAAACAGGCTCCAGGCTCTGAGCCATCAGCCCAGAGCCCGACGCGGGGCTCGAACTCACGGACCGCGAGATCGTGACCTGGCTGAAGTCGGATGCTTAACCGACTGCGCCACCCAGGCGCCCCAGGTAAGTGTTTTTAACCTGATGTTAAAACATTGATGCTTTTGCATGTAAAAGAATCAGAATAAGCTCAGTTAGCATGGGCTGGTTCAGAGCGTCAACAAAGTTTCCCAAGTAAGCCCAGAGGAACATGTATGTAATAGTTTATGATCTCTATTTGCCTGAGGCAATTGATACAAATTATTTTACCAAGGCAAAGTTTAATGATTCCTGACATATAAAGACCTTAAAATGTTACCACTTAATTTTTGAACTTAATAAATAAGTTTTCTACGGTATTTTTCAAATGTTATCAGCTTCTCAAGCAAAGAGATTTAGCTTGGTTCCTATCAGTTTCCCCACACACACACTTCCTAGAATCATTATGTTCAAGTGCTTTTCAGACTTGACTAGAAGCTTCTCAGGTGTGACCTCCAAGCTTTACCATTTAAAGATACAGGGAAATAGCTCTTGGACTTTCTTAGAATGATTCGTTTGCCTAGGATTTTATCAAATATGTCTCAGTGAAAGCTCTAAAAAGGTTGGGAAGCTGATTCTTAAATTTTAAAGTTGGAACAAATCAACCAAGAATTTATTTTTTAAATCTGCATAGTAAGTGAAATGAAGGGAATCTTTTACCTTTTTTTGTGCTAATATATTATTTGATCATCCGTAACCCTGTATTTATCATCTTTTTTTTACATGTGAAGTCAAGCAAGCTTCAGTCATAACTATTTCATTACTTACCACATAATATCCTCTATTACCTTGTGAAGAAGTTTGTTACAAGTATCAAGTTTGATTATTCTTATTAAATATCTTTGGCTTTTGCTCATTTGTAAGGCTAAATTGCAAGAATTCTTTATACAACCCAGCTATTGAAGTTATTGTAGAACCACACTAATGTCACTTTGAGAATAAGAATCAACATGAACCAGTGGTGTCCTAATAAATGTTTAACAACAGGCACTTGGGGTGCAGAGAAGCCTGGCTTGTAATAGTTGCCAATTCTGTGGTATAAATACTCCCACCAAGGGAATATTTCAAACTACCAACCTTATGTGGCTCACAAAATTCCTGCAAATTTAACAACCCAGTTCAAGCCAGTTCCAGCATGCACGTGACTATAATCACTTTCTTTATGGACCAAGTCATAATTTATAGTAAAGTAAGATTGTATTCTGTGCTGTCCCACCCCACCTACACTCCACCCCTTCTTTAACTTAATTGTTTAATGCTTTTGGTTGAGTTAGATGCATCCCTTCCTGTACAGCTGACAGATACAAATGACGTTGTTTTGTTATCCTGAAATATAAGCAGCCCAAATAGAAACACGTTTCTATTGCGTAGTTACTGTAAAAGATGGGTTAAAGATCAGTTTATTTAAAAACCAAGATCATTTTTGGCAGATAGCCCTAACTTTTTTTTTTCCTACTGGTTAGTATATGATAATAGTATAGAGCAAGTCATTTCATACAATTATTTAATATGTGTTTGCATCCACTTGCTTCTATTTGATATATTAAGTTGCATTGCTCAGGGGTAGTCATTTAGTTAGTCCTCTTTTGAATTTGTGGGGGGGGGGGGTTGAGGGTTTTTGTTGTTGTTGCTGTTTGGTTTTTTAATGCTTGAGGGTACTATTCTACCCACTTTTAACATTGTCTACGCTAAAATTAAGGCATACCCAAAATTACTTTCTGAGAGAGAGCTTGGACTCTGCTTAAGGTTAATCATTCACATCACCCGCTAGCAATGGTTGTCCTTATATTACGGAGGCTTCTCCATTTTTGCAAATGATTGTTAATCTACCTCCCGTCTGTCTTCATTTTTGAGGTCAGGCCTTGAATTGGCAACAGTTGTAACAGTTAAAATGAACTCCTGTTCTAAGACTGTCTTCAGTTTTAGTCTGATTTATTATTGTAGTATCTTTATCTCCAAGGATGGTCTTTAGCCTGTTATCAGCACTAAGTAAATATTTGCTGAATAAAAGCATGTATATAGATTTGTTGAGAAAAACTATTTATTGGAGTGTTGCCTGAGGAACCAACAGTTTATTTTTTAATTTCTTTTAATTTCAGTTTAAATTCTTGTCTTTGAATGGGCTTTGGAAGGTCCAAAACACCCCAAAATAATATATAAAATTTTGTGTTTGTGTCAGATGTGCAGTTTGTAGGGAGAGGATCCATGGGCTTCCCAAAGAGATGTAATTAAAAATGACTGCCCTAAACTATCTAAAATCTTTTCTTCAATTTAGCTAGACCATTCAAGCAATCTGAGTGCCTAAAATGAATGATTTTACCAAAATGTTTTACAAAAATGTCATCACATCTGTTAGCAGAGCGGCCCTGTGAATATCAGCAAAGTTCTGAAAGTTGCTTCCTTCAAAGATGTTGTTGACAGTATTGTTCATTATATTACTGTGTCCTCTTAATAAAGGAGGTCCTACTTATACATGCACACACCCCAACACCAGGAACGTTTCTCTTTGATCATAGTTTCATTAATCTTTTTTGCTTTTTCTGAATTACTGACTTATTTTTATCTCAGATGCTGTGATCACCTAACTGATGAGCTTGTTTCCGTCCTCCCATTGGTTACTATAAAATACACAGCAAAATCTAGTCATTGTATAGCATGCATTTACTTTCTTCCCCATATTTACCGTTGGCTTCAATTTATGTTTGTGTAACATCTTTCTAGAACTAGCTGAGGTATTAGTTAAATGTAAACTTGAGCTTTTCTCAGCTCATTTAGCCATGCTTAGCATTTTAAGTTCTTTTCTAAGTTGACCTATGTAAATTTTTCTTAGAGATAACATAATTACAAAATACAATTTCTGTGTTAAATTTCAAAGACTAGTTTTAAATCACAGAAGAAAATAAGAATTTGTGTTGCTTTTCTAAGCTTTGGTTTTTAAAGCCTGTTGTGTAATGGTAACCCTGTTTTGTTTTGTTTTTTTACCCCTTCTAAGGCAGCCAACAGCTGGATTCCATTCATGTAACACAGTTGGAGAGAGATACCGTTTTAGTGTGTTTAGATAGTAAGTACTATCTTAAAGTTTATTCTGAGTATACTGCTTGATATAACAGATCTTTTCATGGAATTGATTCTATTAAGCTATAATTCAAGATTTTTACTTTTCCACCTTAGGTTTTGTTTTATTGATGAAAATCCTAAATTGGCTACAGATATTGTAATTAATTGGTTTGTTAATACTATTCTCTGTGACTTTTTCTTTATTTTGTTTGGCTACTTGGAAACATACTAGATAGTTTGCCATTACTGCGGAGTAAAATTTTGTGTAAAACTATTATGTGTAAATTCTGTATAAAACTATTCTGAGGGTTTTTTCCTACCTCATTATAATTGGAAAAAATAGAAGGTTATACTAGTATGGTCACTTTGTCATATAGCATGAACTTTTAGAATCATGTAGAAGTGACAGTGTAATGTACAGACAGATTTGACATCCTCACCTGCTAGTTGTGATTCTTTTGATGCAGGGAGAGATGTTATTGATAGATGTGTGTTGTACTATAAGCAATAGAGAAGCAGAAAAAACTTCAACAACAGAAATTATTTCAGTTTTCAAATGAAGCAGTCTGGTTCTTAAAAACTCACCTTATTTTTATGCAGTACATTGTGCAAAGTGAAATTCACCAAGACTTAGAATTATACTTGAAACTTGGCAATCTTTGCTATGTTTTGTCCATCCCAGTGTTTTTTCAATTACTGGACCTGCCCATAGGTGTTCAGGGTAATTTTAAAAATTGCTCTACTACTTAATTTGCCTGTATTTTTGTCCTAACTTCTGTTCTCTAAAGAGTTCCTTAGTGGATTTCCCTTAGGGCATCATAAAGACCATCTCATATTATAGACAAGTGAACAAACCCAAAGTATTTCATTCACCCATCATCCTTTAAGTATTTTTGATTCTTTGAATAATGGTAAGATTGGAGTGTTCTTCTGTTACCTTAAAGTATATTTAAGAAATTCTTTTTTATCTAACCAAGTGGGAAGTTCAGTACTGATTAAGCAAATAATCAGAATTTAATTTTAATAATAATGATCCTTTAATGTTGAAATCCCTAAAAACCTTCTGAGTCATCTAAGGAAAATAAATTGTGCTTAGTTTTCATTTTGCATTTTATATATTTTATCAAAATATATTTATATTTTATATATCTTATCAAAAATGTTTTTAAAAGCTTTGATTAGCTAGGCCCTCCATATCCCAATTATTCAAGGTAAATGGAAAGTTGACTTTCTTGAGGTTTTTAAAAGGGAGTAGAGTAAGACGTTTATAATGAGTTGCCAACTATACAGTATAAGTCAGTTTCAGTAAGCAACAGTGGAGACAGGCCTATAATCACAAATCATAGTAGACAGATAAGAAAGTAATACACAGAACAGGTGTCTTCCAAGTCAGAGCTAAAGATGGTTAAATTAAAAAACAAATAGATGAAAAATAGATTTGTGTATACTCACCATCTCAGAGTTTACTTATAAGAAATTATGACCCTTGAAAAGCACTATTTTTTGCCCCTGTATGCCTCTGTAGAATACTATTCACATACTAAAGTTATGAATTACTGCAAATATTACATATCATATGTTATATAATGTGTAAGGGAAAAATTCTACTGATTGCTGAGTACTTGAACACCAAGTAGACACTTTGAAACATCATGCTTTTTAAAAATTGAGGGTGTAAGTGTTCCATATATCCTAAATGAAAAAAAAATAGCAGTGAAATTGCCATTTACTAAATGGTACTTTTATATCTTATAAAACATAATGACAGTTTTCACCGGTCATGCTTGAATCATGATAAATAGCTGAACTTAATTAAGACTGTTTATTCTATATCCATGTAGAATCCACATATCAAGTTACATTTATTTTAGCAGATTTTCATTTCCAGTTTTGACTTGCTTTTTCTTTTTTTTAAGAATTTGTAAAAATAGTAAATCTACAAGGAAAACTAAAATCAAGTAAGAAACTGGCCTCTGAGCTAAGTTTTGATTTTCGCATTGAATCTGTAGGTAAGTCTCCCTTATTATTTTTTTAACTTAAATATAATTGACATACAATATCCTGTTTGAGGTATACATCATAGTCATCTGATATTTTTATATATTATGAAATGATCCCCACAATAAATGTGGTTGCCATCTGTCACCATACAAAGTTATTACAGCATTGTTGACTTTATTCCTTATACTGTACATTACATCCCTGTGACTTCTTTGTTTTATAACTGGAAGTTTATTCCCCTACAACTATTTTGCCCAAGCCTCCTTTTTTTTTTTTTTTTTTTTTTTTTTTTTTTTTTAAACTTTATTTTTTTTTTAATTTTTTTTTTCTCAACGTTTATTTATTTATTTTTGGGACAGAGAGAGACAGAGCATGAACGGGGGAGGGGCAGCGAGAGAGGGAGACACAGAATCGGAAACAGGCTCCAGGCTCCGAGCCATCAGCCCAGAGCCTGACGCGGGGCTCGAACTCACGGACCGCGAGATCGTGACCTGGCTGAAGTCGGCCGCTTAACCGACTGCGCCACCCAGGCGCCCCCCAAGCCTCCTTTTTTAATAATGTGTTCAGAATACTTGACTTTTTGTTCATTCCCTACTTAGGATTGTCTAGACCAGCACTGTCTCATAGAAGTTTCAGTGATAGAGAAATGTTCTGTGTGCTCTTAAATATAGTAGTCATTAGCCGTACCTGTTGAGTACTTGAAACATGGCTAGTGCTACATTTTAATTTTGTAAATTTTAATGTGTTTTTAATGTTAATAGCCACATGTAGCTAGTCGCTATGTTGTATTGGACAGTGCAGGTCTAGATCATAATCTTTTATTGTTATTTCCTGGGTATTTAAAACTTGAAATCACTTTTTTAAATTTCTGTTCATTGTTCCCTTTGCTGCATGAAGTGAATTAAGTACTTCTCCCAGTTTTTTCCAAATCATTAAGGTATTTGTGTGATGTGATTAATGGTGTTAGATATGCTGTAATTCTTTGCCATGTAAGATGGGGTGTGCTGATGGTTATTGCTTTTAGGTCTATTTATATATAAATAACTAGTTTCCCACGGGACTCGGAAACTAATATGCCGTTTTAATTTGCTTCCTTTTCAATGAGTGTTTCACTCTGTGTAATTACTCATTGGTTTTATGATAAAAATTATTATATTTTATTATTGTTTGCATCCTCATTGGGTATTTGTCAGTAAATATTTTCCCCAGGGATGATAGAACTTAGGGGAAAAAAATACCATGGCTGGGAATATTTTGAACAATTTATGATATGACTCTACTGTAGGTCAAAAATAGTTAAAACAAAGTTGGCAATTTGGACCATAAAAAATGCATGTTTCTCATTAAATGTTAAATGTTTCTCATTACTTAGAAAGTTTTTATCCTAAGTATTTTAATGGTTTCTTAACTGGAATTTTGCCCTGTCGCAAAGTATGTTCATCCCACTATGTAAATATCTTACATAAAAGTAATTTGCTTGCAGTTGGAAATTTTAATTTATTGAAGCAGGAAACCTGAACTTTCTGTAGATGGTAGGACAGAAGGGATGTTGGAACTAGTTTCTTCTTTTACTCCTTTATGTGCTGGATACTGCATACCAATTTCTAAGATTTAATATTTTCAGTAGGGATTCTGACATACAGATCTTTAGTTCCTTTTTATTTTTTTTAATTTTTTTTCAACTTTTTTTTTTTTTTTTTTTTTTTT